CTCTCTCTCTCTCTCTCTCTCTCTCTCTCTCTCTCTCTCTCTCTCTCTCTCTCTCTCCCTCCCTCTCTCCATGTGAGCGCATATTGTATTGGGTGTGGAGTGTACCGGATATGGAGTGTAACGGTCGAGGTTAGTATGTGTTGCGATGTTTGTATTTTGACACCCTTGCCTGCATTGCCGTTGGTTTCGTCCCGCTTTTGGTGTACGTTGGCGAGCACAACGACGCTTCCATGTTGGACCACTCGTTTGTTTTGTTTGTTTGTTGTTGGTTTTATTACAATTTTTTTTTATTTTTTTTTTTGTCGTTTTTCTGTTTATCTTCTGTTCACTTCATTTCGGATGTTACGACATTGACATCATTACAAGTTCACAAAAGGGGAAAGACAGTTGTCGATGACGAACCAGGTCCGTTTTGCATGTGGGACTTGTCATGTACGATCGGTTTTTGGCCTTCATTGATGGGTTTTTGGTCTTCATTGATGTTGGCATTTCCTTTGTTGTGTAGTATGTCGGTTTATTACGCGTTTCTTTTTTGCCTCTTTGACCTTTCACCGATTGCAACGGGCTGGACATGACACATGTTGCTCGCGCAACGTGCCGATCAACCCACATCGACAGGGGCGGACTCGAACGCAAAAGGTTGTAGACAGAGGGGGTTGCAAGGCAGAATGAACAAAACTTTATATATATATATATATATATATATATATATATATATATATATATATATGAGAAACCGATGCAGTAATGGGTGGAGAGACATCGAACGATTGACCACTCGCTCTGCATTTTTTTTTTTTTTTTTTTTTTTTAAAGGACAACCCGAGCAAGTGCTAGGGGTGCTGATACGAGCAGACACCGCTAGCACCGTCGTCTGCCAGAAGATCGTTCAATCAATTTTTCGGCGAACCGTAAAACGATCAACCAATCAATCAATCAACCAAACAATCAATCAACCAAACAATCAATCAATCAACCAATCAATCAATCAACCAATCAATTAATCAATCAATGAACCAGGCAATCAATCAATCAATCAATCAATCAATCAATCAATCAATCAATCAATCAATCAATCAATCAATCAATTAATCAAACAATCAAACAATCAGTCCACGATGTTGAGCAAACAATGATTTTGTTGATCGAACGATCAAACAATTCACCTTTGCGATGACAACACAAATTGCGAACTCGTAAAAAAAGTCACCCTTCATTCGCATGTAAAGTCACTGCATTGACACACTGAAAGAGCGATCAATCGATCAATCTCGAGAGAGAGAGAGATGGATAGAATGATAGAATGGGAAGAGAGAGAGAGAGAGAGAGAGAGAGAGAGAGAGAGAGAGAGAGAGAGAGAGAGAGAGAGAGAGAGAGAGAGAGAGAGAGAGAGAG